CCACACCCCGTAAAGAGTTGGAACCCAGCCCAAGGCGCGAGACGCAGCGCCGCATTCGCAGGCTGTTTTTGACTGCTTCTCGATTTTGTTTTTGTTTTAAGTCTAGGGGGCCCGGACCCCTCAGAGGCGGCGGGCGACTAGGTCCAGCCCTGGGTGGCGCAGGTTGTGACATTTGGCGATTCCGCGACTTACTGGGCCCCTGAGCCGCTACCCGTGTGCGATATTTTGTGGCCCGGACATGATACTGATAGTAAACGGGTCAGAACCGGCCAAACACAGGCTACAGCCCCACACACGCGCCCGCCATAGCTCCTGGAGAGCATGCGCGAGTGACGCGCTGCAAGCCGCGAGAGTGGCATCAGAGGCAGGAACGACGTGCTCTTGCTGCACCTCGCAGCTGCACCAAGTGTGCTCGCAGTGTATGCCACGGCCACTGCCTGCGGCATTGCTCTCGTGCAGCTAGGCGATGCAGGTCCATCAGCAGGGCTCATCCAATGCGAGCGCACATTGTGCGTAGCCGCGGGCAGGTGGCAGTGCACGGCCGCACACCGGCTGTGGCGGCTCGTATGCCCCCGGCAGTGCTGCTAGTCATCAACTTGCGTATTAGGGCCGCAGCAGACTGCTGCTGTGGCAGCAGCAGCAGCCTGCTGCTGCCTGATTCAGTCAAGCCAGCGGTGCAGCGAGGCGTGCAGAATTCGCGCGGTTTTGTCCCTCCTGAGGCTGAGCGCATTCGAGCCCGTCGACCGGAGTTGGATGGTACCCCGCGTCTCACTGAGACGCGGGGTACTGGCCATGGCCGGAGAACGGTGGCGAGCGGAGCGAGCGACAAAACAACGAGAAAAACACCGATCTGACGATGTCACAAAACGTCAGATCTGCGCCACCCAGGGCTGGACCTAGTCGGGCGGGCGCCCACTCACCCAGAGATCAAAAACGCTCGGCCCGGGCCGACCCCGCGGCCATCGCCGCTGCCGCCGCGTCGTAGCCGGGCGAGCGGAATAGGGCAGCCCTAGAGAGCACCTTGAGGCCGTTCAATAGAGCCCGTTCTTTAGTCGAGAGTCGCTCGCCGGCCGGCGCAGTGCTGCTCTGACCGCTCCGCTGGGCCCCCTCCGGGCCGCCGCCGCGGAGACGTGCACATAGGCAATTGGTATTTTCATATATGAACTTCAAAATAGTATTGGCTAGTCTAATTCTACTCATCACAACTCGCCAGG